CGCATTTCCCGGAAACTTAGATGCATACGGCAGGTAGTGTCAGAAACCCACGTGTGTTATTCCGGTCACAAAATGCGGTGCTAACATTTCTGCACTCAGTGCAATAGTTAACTTAATTCGATACGAACAAACTGAATAAACAAAGAGCACTGGTCGCTCACTTACCAAATCTGTAGAGACAGGACAATCACCAGCAACTAGAGCCGCGTCTATATAGAGAGAATACTACAAACGAATCCAGATTTCAGCGTTTGCAGATGTGAACAGCTCTCAGGTAAACAATAATCCTCCTTAGACACGTAAGTTATTGTTGTCGAGCGTCGCGTACACTGTAATCCACACGTGATCCAGATAAGCTCTCACAGAGAGAAAATGAAAACGAAACTTAACGGCAGCAAACTATAAAAGCAACACTTCACGCTTGTTTTGCCAACACAACGTGGCGTCTTTGTGGTGTAAGCGCGGTGACACAAATGAATATTAATGAAGTTTCACAGTAGAGCGCGCTGATTGGTTTGAACCAAGCCTTACTCATGCATTAATGTATCACACTGTAAGACGTAATAAGACTCACTCTGGCACAGACGCCCAGTCTGCACGCTGGAATACAACGCTATTATGTCATGACCGTGACGCAGCTTCAAAAATTCGTTTCAAACAGGAAGTACGAATTTGCTTGAAATAACGCAAAAACAACCAATTTACACTTTTTAGTGAAATATAGGTGTCCTAAAAGTGTTTTTAGCAGTGTGGGACACATATACGACTGCAGGGGTGATAGCGTTCCGGCACCACGCCGGATTTCCGGCGTACTGTGGCTGCGGGGGAAAAAAAAAATCAGGTTCACGGATATTGATCTGTCATTTCTCTAGATTCACAGAATTCACTCACTGCTGAAAGCGCCGGATTGGTTTTTATTAAGTGCCATTTTGTGTGCTCGTGAATCATCTTTTGAGTGTAGACGCCATGTAAATAAAAGATTCATTGTGTAATTTAGAGAGCTTTATAAATCATAACGGATCTTTGTGAGATCTCTATGAACTAAGATTAGTGACGCTTTTTAGTGATAATAAGAGGAGCGTGCTTTGCACTTTCCAGGCTATAATCCATTCAGAATTTGTATGAAACTTTCGTTTTCGGCACATATACGCTGATATGTTTTGGGAATGGCATCTGCATATTTACACTGGGTTTATTCTCGAAATAACGGTGAAGCAATAGACGGGACAAAAATATATTTCCCCCTTCTCCTTAAACCACTTAGTGTTTCAGCTATGAAATAGTTCAGTTTTGTATGTAGCCTAATGGCAAAGTGTTTATATTTAGTTTCGTTTTTTATTCAGCTTATTTAGAAAAACGTTTGGAGCATTTTTTATTCGTTAAAAATAAGTTTTTTTTTAACGAACAGCGCCCAGCGGAAGACCATCATTGTCTGTTTGATCAGTTTGCCTTCTCAGATCATCACGACTTAGTTTGCTTATAAAAAGCTTGCAGGACATCGAGGCGCGAAAGAAATCACTTGCATTTTTTCAGTGGGAGCAATTTAAAGTTAACCGTCATTTTTGCTCACAAAGTACGAGTAATACATCAAAAAACGTTACAGCGATTTTTATAAAATAAAGAAAACCAAAACTATGCGCTTTCTGTCGTCTGGTTTTTGAACTGGAGCGCTTAACAAAATGAAGCAAAATGTATATGCCTCACAGACATAATAAATATATTTATAGAAAGCTTTAAATTATTACTTAACGAAATAAAACAAATCGAAAACAAAAAAAGTCCTTCATGTAATCCGTAAAGATGAATTTCTAAAGGCGAGTCCAAGAGGAGATTGCCAGTCAGGATCTTTGCGACACTGACTCAGAATAAGTTTATTAATAAATAATTAAGATATGTCCTTACACTTTCCTCGACACATTCATTGTTATTTGTTTTTGCCGGTGCTTGGGGCGAGTTTTAGCTTATTGTGTGCGCTTGAACGCGGATTCACAGTAGCAGTTTTAACATGGAGTGACACGACATCTGACGTACAGATGACACTGGCACATTCTGGTGGCACGTCCGGTGTTTTCCACTGTCATATGTCACTCGCTAGTGGCATGTGTAGTGACCTAGTGACCTGTGTCACTCAGAGTGTCGCGCTGCATGTCACTGCAGTGACATCGACACCCGGCGAAGCTTATGACATTAATTAACACGAGCAAAACCATATTTAATCATTACGCGACTTTTAACCTAATTTATCGCGTCACAAGTTAGTTTATTTGCTGAGCTACTCCACGATGTTTTAATTTAAAAGCATTTATTTTATGTATTCGTAGTCATACTTCCGTACGTAATATAGTCATTTGACAGTACATGTCATTAAAATTTATTGTGGCATGCTTATGTATGGGAGGGGTTACACTTATCTGTTGTACTGTATATTATTGCATCCTGGCAGTTCCTTTGTTCCCTACAATATGGACTTCTCTATGTTTTTAATTCATTCATTTATTTTATTATTTAACTTATTTTCATTTTAAGGTATTTTAAATAATATCCTTTAAAAAGTTATAATAAAATGCAAATTTAAAACTCATAACATATATGCATGTAAGATAACAGGTGTCATTTGCCTAATGATTTTTAAATATTAAGGCAAAGAGACTTATAAGATTAATGTGCTTATAACGTGCTTATACTGACACCTACTGGCACATGTCACAAGATCACTGACACTGGCATGTGTCACTGATATTACTGGCATGTGTCTAAAAAGAGCCACTTGACAATAATGATGATCAGGGTTACACATAGGCTGTTAATATATTTGGGCCCAATAATATATTATAATATAATATAAATATATTATATTATGTGTTAAAAGTGCGTTGCATACTCACCTCAGGGGCAAGGAAAAAAAGTTCAGGCTCAGGAATTTTTTCCACTATCAGCCCTGCGACTGTCAACAGCTCAAAAAATGTGTTTTGGTGTTTCGTGACCCTTTAAGGTTTGGTTGTTTTTATAAGATTCAAAGCAATGTGTACTCGTGCTTCATTTGTGGAAAATCATGTTATATTTTCATATATCTTTATTTAATTATACAGCTGCTCCATGAACATGAAAACAACAATCATATTTCCTGGTTCCTTCAAAAGCCCACCCTCAAGAGGCTCTGATTGGTCAGCTAACATAATGTGTTGCGATTCACGGATCAACTCCATGTCACCACGTCACGGCCCTACTAGCACGCACTTTAGCGCTGTTTCTACAGTAGCTAAATCAGAAAGAAAATTAAGAGCGAACAGCTGAACCTCACGCCTGCACTCTAGAATACAATATGACAAGTTTGAGTTCTAAGCATGTTTAAGTTATATGAAATGTTCACATGTCTTTTGCGAGTTTATTATTTGAGATGTAGAATGCACGGAAAGCATCCACAAAGTGAGACACTGCAGCGCTGCTGAAGATTGTGGGTGTTTGACTGATAAATATGAATTTGTAGTTAAATTGTTAACAGTGCCAAACAGCATTTCCCATTGTTTACATCCTTGTCAACGTCCTCACTACAACATACTGTTAACACTAGAAACGTTACATGTAATTGATCAATTTTACCAAATAAAAGCACTTTCAGGTTGTGGCTCACAATCTACAGCTTTGTCGGTTGGAAGAGTTTTAACCGAATCCAGCACTGAACTGGGAGATATTCTGGAAGCTGTTCTTTGTCAAATGCTCTATATATATTTTTTAAATATAGCGCCACTGGCCATTCCCTGTTGCTGCGCGGGGTGTGGGCTTGGTGAATGTGCGTAACCTGAAGCGTTTATGATCTCATTAACCGGTATGTATCTTTTTGTAGCCCCCAAATTAGTTTGCTGTATGCTTTGCTGAGCTAACTCTGTAAAAGCCAATGTCTCCCTTCGCATTACATTCATGTTGTTTACGTTCACACAGCTACACTACACATCAACTAAAGTTTGAAATATGATATCGTATCATGGACCACCCCTTAAAAATACAGAAATACATTTTACAGTTCATGGAGCACAATATTAAAGTTGGTTTACAGTTTAGAGGAAAATGACTTATTTTTTGCAAAAAAAAAAATGGTCGGAAAATAAACATTCACCATGGAGCTGTACAAGTTTCTTTTACTATGATGACAACTTTTATATGTATGGTTTATATTAAATTCATGTACTGCCTGATGTATATTTCCAAATGCAAGCATTGATCAGCATATCACAATATTAAGAGAATAACTGCTTTTAGATTGATCTGTGTATGCTGGAGTTTACACTTTTCACAATCCTTTTTTTTAGATTTTATGAATGCAGTTGATTTTGAGTGTACAGTCAGTCACTGAAATACAGTCCTGGTGTTGCTATGGATGCAACCACTCGCGAGGCAGAAAAAGAGGAACAACATTTATATTACATCTCCATGGTAATGCTAGTCACAATTGCCTTCTCTAGGTTTTCAAAAAACACACTAAAGTTTTTAATGGTTTTTATTAGTAAGTTTGATTTAGTGAGCAGTCAAAATGTAGTGAAAGAAATAATTTAGTGGCTTTCGTTGGTTTTGGTTAACATTGGAATCAACTTGTGTGCCTTATTTCACATATAACCTGCTATATTATGGGATGTCCCAATGTCTTGGTTGGTTTGAGGTTGGTTAATATTAGATCTAGGCGATGGTACATTGCAAAGTGCTAAGCCAAATCCATATGGCACAGAACTGATTATAGTCTGTAATGATATCAGATTTAACTCACTTTATTACTACTTATTGTGGTTTGCTGAGAGACGATAAATTTTGAAATGGCCTAACAAATTATTGCCCATTACAATTATGCTGTTGACAAAAAAATAGCAAACACTATCCTCATTCTTACTTGTACTGTTCAGTTGAATGTTTATTTGGATCCTGAAAACAGTAATGCTTGAAAGGGAACACCCTTCGCCCTAGCATCACATTCTCCTTTTTCACTCTCTTTCAATCTCTTTCTCTTTCAGTCTCAGGACTCACCATACTCAATGAGCGTACAGCGCAATGTCAGAGCGCTCTGGGCAAACGGCAAAGGGGAAGGATGGCAAAACCAAGTATGCGTCTCTCAACCTGTTTGATACCTACAAAGGAAAGAGCCTTGAAGCACAGAAGCCAGTTGGTGAGTTTGCATTTTGGTAGTAATAAAACAAGCTTTTAAAAATATATTTTTTATTGTAAAACAAGACAGGCATTTAGAAACTGTGGTTTTTGTGCAGTGTGCTTAGAACTTAGAGTAACATTTATTTTCATATTCTAATAATCAATTTGAATAAAAATGTTGGCATGTAAGACTGTAAATATGTTTTTTACATATTATATTTACTTTTATTTATTATTTGCATTTTAAAAAGACTTTTAAAAATGTTGTGCTATTTCTGTGGTTGCTTTTCTTTGAGGATAGCTTGTCGTTAGGGCTGCACAATATATCGTTTCAGCATCGATATCACAATGTGATCATTCGCAATAGTCACATGGCAAGTATGTGCATTGTTAGGTCTAGATTAAAATAGATCGTTTTGCAAGTGATTTTTAAGGCATGTGACTGAGGGTTTTAAAAGCATTGAAGAATATGAAGATTGTAACTTTGTCAAATTAACAACGATACATTTTATTGAATTGTTTATAAAGAGATGACCATGTGGTATTATTTTAATTTTGAGTAATCAGTTACTGTATACCTGAAACCGCGAAAGGTGAATGCGTTATTGCGAGGGATCACTGTACCTGAATACAATTTGGCTCCTCGAAAAACAGTATAGTGCAGTTTATTTAATTAGTATCTTTTTCTTCATTGAATTTATCAACACTTCTAGAGTGTTTTATTATTTGTTATTTAATCCCCTACAGAATCATCCCAAATCAATCTAAAATAGTAAATTCTTTCCAAATGGTTTTTCAACTCATTTAGTAACATTGTTTTCTTATTGCAAAATAAAAATATTGTATATTAAAATTCTTTAATATCAGATTTTTGCTAAATCCTGCAGTCCTATTTTTTGGTTGTGCATTACTGGTAAATCACTTTTGTTTTAATCAGAAAATAAGACGATTATATGAGATTGCATGGATTTTTCTAGTTAACTAGATTTTAGTTTTTACAAATTGCTTATTGCTGACTTAAGGGCTGCTGACATAGGCCTAGTATAATATTTAATTTTACTTGAAAGATGGAGGTTTATTTTTATTTATTATTTTTTAAGACACTTTTTTTTGCATTTTGAATGTTGCAATCACATTTTTTATGATGTAAAACATGTCTCATTCTCATGTACTAGCCTTGTATATCTTTAATAAAAAATAAAAATTGGATACTATTAATTTTGGGGAGGGAGAGGGTTTCCTTGCAAAATCACAAATGGTATCGATTATCGTTATTTTTCAAGGTATCATATCAAAATGAGAAATTTCAGCATCGTGACCACACTAGTATTAGCTCTTCGATAGGACTAATGAACCTCATCTGTCTTTAACAAAACAGTGTAATACAGCTGTTGCATATTAAACAAATACCGCGTTGTGCTTGATCTGTCTGGCCTTCTAAAACAAGCATGTTCTTTGATTTCTGTGCATCTTAAATCCCACAGTGGGTCACCCTAGCGTTCCAGGGCAGCTCACAGAAGTGTTGAGGCTTGACCCAAGACAGAGTTCTTCTTGTGATCTTCGTTTTTCCCTCCTTATGTTTTATTCAGTCGCTCTGCTATCAGTTCTGAGTAGCTGCCCCTGTTTTCTCAAATACAATTCTTCCAGCACTCTAGCCCTCTTGGCTTCTGGAAACAAATAGGGGATTGAGAGTCAGGACAGATGTGTTTTTCAGTGTCTGAAACCTCCAGTGACTACGCTGTGCAAGGCTAAACCTAGTTAGCATGGGCCAAGTTTATTGAGAGAGTGGTATTTTTGACTTCAAGTAATTTTAATGTCAACCACTTGAAACAAATCCACGCAAGATAGTTTTGCTTCTTGTACTGACCAGTCAAGCATTCCTAAGTCTAAACGGATGAAGGGATTTGATGTTCTTGCATATGCTGCAATCTCTCTGACTGAGTCCCTCAAGATGGTGTTGGGTTTCTGCATGTTTATTTACTCATGTTCCTCTTCTACTTTCAGTTGCCCCTCGTCATGGCTTACAGTCTCTTGGTAAAGTTGCCTCTACACGGCGCATGCCCCCCCCTGCCAACTTGCCTAGTTTGAAGGCAGAGAACAAAGGCAACGACCCCAACGTCTCGCTCGTTCCCAAAGACGGCACAGGATGGGCAAGCAAGCAGGAACAAGCAGACCCAAAGAGGTGAGCTTTTTAGCCATTATATAGTGTTTAATGACCCGTTTCCACTAAGTGGTAGAGTACGGTACGGGTCGCTACGGGTCACCGTTATCAGGCTCGCGTTTCCACTGCCGAAAGGGCAACAACGGTACCCTTTGGTGGGTGTGGTGTATAACAAAGTTTCAGTTGACTTCATTCTCTCTCGAGAACATGTAAAAGTAAAGCTGTACAGGTCGTTTACATATCATATGAGAATCACTTCTCACAAAACAGATGCTTTATACACAAATACTTGTGTATAAATGTTCATCACTAACTTTTTAATGAACATGATTTGATTATAACTGCAGATGAATGATGAAATAAATGCACAGTATATCAACACATACAGCCCCTTACAGTCTCCAGTATGTTACCTATTACAGAAAAACTAAACACAGCACACTGTAGTCCTTATTTGGGTTCAAAAACAACACAGTCAGTGCAAACCTTTCATCTGCATCTTTAATCTTCACCAGCACATGTAACCTCTAATTAAAAAGTAATTCTGTCATTCTGAGTTAATAATAATCCAAAAGGTGATGATAATAGTTAAACATGGCAGTTTTTTCATGTTTTAGGTTGCTGAAAGAATCATTTGCCGCTTTGTTTTTTTCGGCTTTTCCTTTGTTTTTTTACGGGTCACTCTTGCAATTGTCCGTTTCTGAAAGGATAGAGTGTCAGAAGCACTTTAATAATCACACGCATGTAATTAATATTAGCTCAAGAAGTTTGTTATTCCAAATATTAAAGCGTGACAAGCTTTCTCAAGAAAGTGAAACCATTTACACTTTAGAATATATTTTTCCTTTTTTTTTAGCCGTGCCTATAGACTCTGCATTAGAAACACCTTACCTAAGAGTTAACAGTTAATATTTTTTTTTTAATTGAATGCAAAGATTATATAATGCAAATGATACATTTATCAATGTCCACATTTTTTAAAATATCAAAATATAAAAACTTTTGAGGGTTTAAGAAGCTGTTAATGCAGTAAATAATAACCCATGCCAGTTCAATCACTATCAAATCTAGCAGGTTGCGCTATGAATAAGTGCTCAGTAAAATACTGATTAACTGACAGTGTACTTAAATCTGCTTGTTAAGTCATGACGTATGGAATACTGTTTCTAGGTTCAAGTCGCTACTCATTTGAATTGAGAAAATCCTCGTTTGTGACCACTTTTTATTCAAATCACCCATTAAAGTGAATTTTATATTGTTTTTGTAATTTGATAATGTTTTTATAATTTCTAAAAAATGGATCACTTTCTGGCCATCGGATATTAGGCATGGATGTATTTATTGTGATCATGATTTTTGAAAATATTACATCGCTTTGTAAATGTTTATTATAGCCATTTGTTGAGTCTCCCCATACCGTTTAATATAGAGCTTGGGTGTGACGTCACACTTAATAAGCGGATGGTGCTTGATTTTCTTTGTAGACCACCCAGATTCTTAAAGCTTTTGTCAGCTAATTTCAGCTTCTGGGTTTAAAATGATTTTTGGGGCGGGATCAAAATCGGCGATGTAGCGCAAAACTGCAAGTGCAAAAATGACGCATCGGTTTTTCATTATTATTCATAGCGGAGTTTTCTTATCCTATGAAAAGAGTCTACTTCTTAATTGTTCATGACTGCATGTGCTTTCTGAAGGCAAGGCAGACTTGCCAGTGCCAAGCTGTGTGAGACAGACCCACGGCACACAGTATTTAGCTGTTCATGAAGGGTAGTATGTTTTTGTTTCTATGATTCACAGGGTTTGTTGCATGTTTTTCCCCACGATCCTGTCAGGGCGAATTCAGCAAAGCTGTGTGTGTGCAGCAAGCATTTTGTCGGGAGAGCAGTATGAGAAATGGAGAATGGCGGACAATGTCTTTTATCAGGAGTTCGTTCACATTTAGACACATCGGCGTGCTGCTGTGTTCACCTAAATCCTCTAGATAACCAACAGGGCTAATGGTTAAAATAGATAGGGCAAGAGACCTGCTTCACTGAGTCTGCATTCAGACCTATGATTCAGACCTGGGGATTGATGGAAAAGTCTTCATTTATAGTGTTTATATGAACATGATTATCTTTATAATGATATAAATTGTGGTTATCTGTATATAAAAGTTACGATGCATCTTTTGAAAAAATTCTGAGGTAGACCTGAACCGAAAGTAAGGGGTGTCATAACCCTTTAAATCTGTTAATAGAGACATATAACATCAAGTGTGGTTATGATCGGCCTCAGAAAACTCGGGCAAAGACACAATTAGCTTCACAGACCTGCTGTTGGTATATGCAGTATAATGAAATGAATGTTCATGCCTGCCATCTAATGCAAGATTGCTATGGTTTTGATCTTTCCTCCAGTACCGATGTATTGTCAGCAGCGCAGCCGGAGTCGCAGCAGCCTGTGGCCTCACAGACGTCTGCGCCGAGCATACCGAGAACACCCCCAGCTCAAGAGGTGCCATCACACAAACATTATTAATCTACAACATTATGCATGCTCTTCACAATCTCTGATTAAGGTGCTGTTTACACTGAGCGTTAAAGAGGTATGTATCATGCATTTTATGTGTGGTGTGGACAGATCGTTTGTCTGGATATCGGAGCATTTTCATTCTAAAATGCCATTTTTAAATCAAAATGGAAAAGTGTAAACGGCACCTAAACATGCACCTTATAGCTGTAGTTGTTATTTTATGACGAGATGGAAATACTTATACTTTGTTATTCTGGCTCAGTGTTTAATACCTGCCATTTTTGTATGTTTCTTAGCCTCCGACTCCAGCTCTAGCCGTAGGGCCAAGGTCTTGGGCTCCGGCCAGTGTTACACATGGAGCACAAGGAGATGGTAAGATACTCTATCATGACTAGGGTTGTAACGGTATGAATTTTTCACGGTATGATAATCGTCTAAAACAATACCACGGTTTGACGGTTTCGCGGTATACGGTATGTTACAAAATAATAGAACAGTGAAGCAAATTTGACTTTTTCCAAATAATATATTTTTAGTTACTATAAACAACACCACTTACAATGAACAAATAAAAATAAGAAAATAATAAATAATGTGTCAAAGTCCAAATAAAGTCCAAATAAACATGGTGCAAATCCTCAGTAAAAAATAGATATAAATATTTACTATACTATAAATAGTTACATAACGAAACTAGATTCAATATGGAACATCCCTAGGTTTTATGTGCCAGCATGGATATGGTTGTCTATGGATTTGGATATGGTTGTCTGCAATGCAGACAAACAGCTGCATCTTCATTTGCGTCTTTTGAAAACAGCAAGAGCAGCAGTTCGTCTTTGCTGTGTCACTGTTTTGTCATGTTTCTGTGCTGCTGTGCATGCAAAAGTACTTAGTATGAGAATTATTTCATGCAAAACTTTTTTTTTTGCGTTTTATTTAGCCGTGCATAAATGTGTGCCTATCTCTCATTCCGTGTTGTTCAAAAAGCTTGGTCCACAAACAAAAGCGAAACCTATGCTTATTGGTTGTGATATAGCGAGTTTGAACCAATCTGGGCATGGAGGAGGGACAATGCATCAATGTATCATGTCTGATTTGTCCGGAGACACAGTGACGAGCGTTTCTTTGTCAAATCAGCGTTGTCAAATGTTGATGACGTAACCGCACTGATTCCGGAGCCTCTGAAAGTCCGCGAATGATATGTGATACAGCGCTGGAAAGCTGAGATTCTCTTCTTTATGCCAATCTTTGAATTGTATGAATCGGATCAGCGGATCAAAAGTTATTAAACATTTAAGAGCAATACTTATTTTTAGCCGCGGGCGGCTGTCTCGGTCTTTAAGGGTTAAAACCGTTGATATGCAATTGTTCATGGTATGATAATCGTGCACGTTCAAATCGTGGTAAACCGTCATACCGGTATATTGTTACAACCCTAATCATGACCATACTGTAGCATGACCATCATATCTTGATTGGTGCACATTGTTTGAAACACAACAAGTCTAAAACTTGGTTTGTTACAGTTTTAAAGTTGTAGAAAGAAAAAAATCAAAATATAGAATTCTGCATAAAATTGCAGGGTTCCCGCGGGTCCTTAAAAAGTCTTAAAATGTCTTAAATTAAAATCCGTGAAATTAAGGTCTTAAATTGTCTTAAATTTTACCGTAAAGTGGCTATAGGTATTAAATTTTCAGCCGGTCTGCTCAATGACGATAGGGAAGCACAGTGGTCCACCGTAAAACATCTAATAGTTGATTAATTCAGTATGTGAAACGGGAGAGAAATGACAGTCTCCGTGATTTATTAGCTTATTACGGTAGGTTGGGTACAGAGTACAGACGCTGACGGCGGTCTGCACCTGCGTGCTGTCATTACGCGGTTGTTGATGTGAGGTTCAAAATGCAAAGATGGGAGAATGTAAATTTAACGACGTGGCAAAGAGGCAATGTGTAAATTCTGCAAAAAGACCTTTTCGTTAGGGACCATGGGGCTCAAAGTCATCGAGTATAACTTGAAAGGAGGAAAGCAGCAGCTGGACATTGCAGCAGCTAGTCATAGTGGGTCCAGGTTAATCCCTGCATTGTTTGCAGCTCGACCTAACAATGTTACTAGTTCAGACTAGAGCTGAAGATCTTTGTTGGGCTCGGACTTTATTTCTATAATTTTAGACGGGGTCGTGCCGGGCTTGGGCTTGCGCAGTAAATGAACAGTCATGTGATGCATTTCGATTAGCGCGAGGAAGTAATCAAATTGTTTGTTACAACATTGAAATCCATCCCTGCAAAGGTGAATCAAATGATGAAAGAGATGTCAAAAAGAGCGAATTATGTCAGCGATCAGGCCAGCCGCCTTGTTTTATTCGAACAGTCATTCTAGCCACTGGTATATAAAGGTATTTTGGCGGTCGCTCTTTACGGTAGAGCACTAAGGAGCAGTGTCCAGCGAGCTGACAGGACATGACGAGGCCACTCGCTGCTTTGAAACTCCTTTGACTCCATGACTCCTTTTGTCATGGAAAGTTAAATGAATGTTTTTGACTGATGGAAGATGAACAAACAATCCTACCCAAAACATGCTAAATTAGCCGGATCAGTAGTGTATCCCGGCCAGTAGCAGCAGCAGAGAAAAGGTGTTCAGTGCTGCTCAGTGGGTTCAATAATGTCAATTGGGTTGATGAGTAAAGAATTTTAAATTACAACTTAATATTAATAAAATCATAATGTATGCAGAGTATACAGGCTAATGTTGGCATTATTCTTTTATTATTCAGCTTCACCATCGCCTTATTGTGAAGAGAAGTGGCAAAACAAATCCCACTGAGCCATTATCTTAATTTCGTTATTGCCAAATATCCGTCATCATTTATCATTTATTTTAATTTATTTGCTAAGAAAGACTTATTTTTATTGGTGTGTTGGCCAATTTAAATGTTAAGTGTATGTACCCAGGCCTATTTAGAGTGTTGAGATGTTAATATGTTATAGGGGGCTTTTTTTTTTTTTTTTTTTTTTTCCAACTTGGCCTGTAGCCTATGTTATGGATAAGTAATGTTAACGCAAATAAACAACTCATTCATGAAAAAAGACAAAAGAGCTGTACATGTGCACATTTGGGTAATGTCGGGCTATAAACGGGTTCGGGCTTTTAAAAAGCTGTCAATCAAAATGTACCTGTCGGGTTCGGGCTCTATCGGGCCTACCTTTCATAGCCTGATTGCAGCTCTAGTTCAGACGCCCCCTCACAGTCAGCTATAACAGTTTCATTTCACCACCAGACACCCAAAAGGCAGGTACTGCGGGTTATCCATACTGTGACGAGGCACAATTTATTTTAATTTAACGAAAACATTCAAATGAGTAGCCTATTCCAAAGAAATTATATAATTTTTGGGTCTTAAATTATATTTGTTGAGGTCTTAAAAAGGTCTTAAAAAGCATTAAGTTTTACTTTTAAAATGGTGCAAGAACCCTGAATTGGAAATAGTGTTAAAGTAGTACTTGCTGCTTTCGTGATTCATCTTGAAGCTATATTCTTAATTTAAGCAAAAGATAAAAAAATCATGAAGGCTTGCGGTAAAACTATTGTTGTTTATTTTTAGATGTTTTTTAATGCAGAATATGAAGAGTAATGTTTTTAATAAAGGATGTTTTTTCTACATCATTAATTCCCTTTGGTCTCTTCACAGGTGGAAAGGGATCAAACCAACCATCGCCATTCTCTCGCGAGGAATTTCCCACCCTGCAGGCGGCTGGAGACCAGGACAGAGCTGGCAAAGAACAGGCCACTGCAGATCAGTGGTATGGGCCAGGACCAAGCCTCCGCCCCCAGAGTAAGCATGATATCCCTGCTCTCATTTTAATAATTCATACTGTGATTTGTGTCTTGGAACATGCAGGGTTTAAGTTAAATCTTTTATCTTCTAATGCTTCTTACTTTTATTAGTTCGCATATGTTCGACAAACTATCAAAAACAATTGATTGCTTTCTGTCCCAGACGTAACAAGTTGGCGGGATGGTGGGGGCCGGGCATTGGCACCCACCCTGGCTGGGGAGGCAGTTGCGGAGGGCGGTGCTGGGGGAGTCATCCTGATGGAGGGTGCTGCTGGGGCCCCTCCCATCCAACAGCAGAATGCATCTTCTCATGGGCCGCCTAGAACTCCCCCAACCAGCAACCCCGCGCTTCCCCTCCCCCAGCCAACTATTGGCCCGCAGTTTCAGGCTTACAGAGGGATCATGCCTCCCTTCGTAAGTGTAAGTGAAGTTTTGAATTTTTAGTAATTAAAAAAAAAAAGATCTTTACGTGCATGTTTCTTATAAAATTGTTGGTTCTTTGAAGACTGTAGAAGCAGTGCATTCATGAATTTAAAGCAGTAATTCACCCAAAATTGAAAATTGTCATCATTTACACACTCTTCACTTGTTCAAAATCTGTGTGAAGATCTTTTCTTCTGTTAAACCCAAAATAATATATTTTGATGAAATCTGGAAACATGTATCCATTGACCCTCATTGTATTTGGTTTTCCTATATTGTGCATGTGAATATTTACAGGTTTTCAGATTTTAGCAAAACATCATCTTTAGTGTTTAACAGAATTATCTATCCCTTTAATATGCAGCTTTAACTGCAATTATTAAGCATGCTGGAGCTCCTGTGGCTCAGTGCATCCTCTTTCCCTGAAAATAGTACCTTGTTGAGTAAAAAAAGAATCAATTTATTGTTTGTTTTTGTATGTTTATTTCTAGATGTATCCACCATACCTGCCCTTTCCACCCCCTTATGGTCCACAGGGACCTTACAGGTACCCACCGCCAAATGAGGCTCCTAGGTGAGTTATACGTGCTTAATTAAGCAGAAATTCAGATACTAATATTCATGTTCACAGTCATTTTATTGCCTTTTCTAAGTCTGTTGTAACTGTTTTTGCCAGGTTTTCTCGGAACCAGGGTGGAATAGGGCCAGATGGGCGACCCCCTGGAGGCCCCCGGGGTGAAGTGGTAAAACGCCCATCCATCCTCAAACAGGATGACCTAAAAGAGCTGGATGAGCTGGACCATGATGGAGATGAGGGCTGGGCTGGTAAGAGAAAATCTTTCCATTTATATGCCACATTAGAGTGGAATAAACCGTAGTAGTTAACACTATAAAATTGAGGGAAATGTGTAAAAGTAACTCTTTTAATACTGACACAGAAGTTGTAACTACAGTATTTAGTCCTTTTTCTTGATGGTTTACTTTGTTCTCAGGAGCTCAAGAGGAAATTGACTACTCCGCGAAGTTGAAATTCAGTGACGATGAAGGAGAGGATGATGGGGAGGAGGAACGGGGTGAAAATAAAAATGGAACCCGGTAAACATTTCTAAAATTTTCTCCCATTAGTTGTTTTTAACTGTTTATGTTTGCTTACTGAAGTTCTGGTTTAACAGGGAGTCAAGGGAACAGCAGAGATCCCAAGATGGACCTGTACCTGTTTCACGTTCCAGGGCATCCGACAGTGGAGGGGATTCGCGACGCACCCCTCCTTCCAGTACTGAAGATGGCTCTGTGTCCCCCTCCAGCAAGCCAGGCTGGGCCGAGGAGGGAGGTAGCAGCTGGAACAGTCAAGCAAATGCCGGATCTTATCAGGTATAAAAATCATAACCCCATCAAAGTCCAAGCCCTCAGTGCAACAACTTGCCTTTGCCAAATACTGTACAGTCATTGTGAGGACAGGAACATGCTCACGGTGTGTCCTGGATGACTCGCTGATTGATACATGTACCCCTATGCAGGGGCCTAGGCCTGGATTAGGTGGCACTAGGGAGCAGCCCTCTCCCCCACCAGGTCCACTTCTTGGACAAGGGCCCCACTCCTACTACCGCCAGGTACATGGGGAAAGAGTCCGAGAAATAGGGCAGAAGTGACATCAAGCACTAACATAAGCATGTTGGGTGTAATGGAGGTAATGTTTGTATTTGTGAACTTGACTAACCCACCTTATGTCAACAGGACCGGCCTTCAAACCAGTCGCCAATACCTGGCCCAATCCTGGCCCCCCAGAAGCCCAGTAGTGCTCATGCACAGCAGCAGGCAGGGACAGTGCCTGGTGGGCCAACTCCTCCTCCCTCCAACACCCTGCACCCTCAGCAACAGGGTGAGGATGAAGATGAGACATGGCGACAAAGGAGAAAGCAGTCATCAACCGAGATATCTGCAGCAGTGGAGCGTGCCCGTCGACGCCGTGAAGAGGAGGAACGGAGGATGCAGGAGGAGCGCCGTGCTGCCTGTGCAGAGAAGCTGAAAAGACTTGATGAAAAACAGCAGCAACAGACAATAAAACCCAGCAGCCCCAGTGACGCTCCAGCCAACAGCCCTAGTCCTTCTTTGTCTGCACATGCCTCATCTCCCAATGTCAGTCAGCCATCATCACCCTGCGTGGACACTGAAGAACCACCTCTGTTATCCGCTCAAGGAAGTGGTGCAACTCTAGGGCTTACTAATAATAACAGACAGAGAGCTGGTAGCAACAGCAGCCACGACTCCAACAATGGTTAGTTTTTTATTTTATTTAAATTATTACATAAAAGTATGTTTGGCACTTTTGTTAAAATGTTTCCTAACTTTTCTGAAATGTCAATTTTGTTCAAGATCAGCAAACAGCTTGAGTATGATTATTTTTAAGGTAATTGCATGATTTCCTTTCTATTCAGAGTCCCAGCAGGTTCTGCAACCTCAAGCCACCCAGCATCCACAATCCCAGGATGTCCCAGGGCCTGGAGATATCAAGGAGGAGCATGTGGTGGGCGGTCCACACATCCGCAGTACTAGAGTTGGAGATGATTCAGTGAAGGTGGTTGAATGTGTTGGTGTAACAGGACGGCAGGGAAGTGGTCCTTCTGGGCAAGGCTTTTCCAAGTATCAAAAATCGCTTCCTCCTCGCTTTCAGAGGCAACAACAGGTTGGTTTTTATTTTTTCAAATCTGTAAGAAAAGCTCATTAAATTCAATGAGTTGTTTTAGTTTGTGTTGTTAAAATTTGCTAGAAACATCTTGACCTGTTTTAACGTTCCCACTAGGACTGTAGAATTATGATGCAGAGTGACAAGAATATTTTTATAGATTGTGTAGATGTAAATATTCATCACCAGAGCTGAAACATTAGAAACCTTGAATGCTTTAAAGTACTAAATGGTTCACATGGTGTACTATAATGATAAATGCATAGTTCTAAATATTTTTCTACTTAGAAAATGTCACACAACAGCTATAAAGGTAACAGCAGAGCGGAACAATTAGCAGAATCATTTTTTCAACCAGAATCTTTTCTGTGTAAGCTTGAGCATTTAAAGTGGCAGATGAACTTTTAAAAATGTTCTATATAAAATCTGCCTTGTATCATTTATCAACAGGAGCAACTTCTCAAACAGCAACAGCAGTGGCAGCAGCAACAACAGCAACATAACCAGGTTGCTGCCCAAAATCAGTTGCAGTCACAGCCTCAGAACCAGCAGGGCCCCGCTCCAGGTACCGCACCACAGTCTGGGCCCAAACAGCCAACTCTTTATCCTCCTGGCTCAATGGGACGTCCTCCACCTCTTCCTATGAACTTTGATCCCCGCTGGATGATGATGCCCTATATGGACCCCCGAATGATGCAGGGACGCCCCCCTCCTATGGACTACTACCCTCCAAGCATGCATCCTTCAGGTTAGTGACTAACTCAGATCAGCTGTAAATAATAGATTGACAGCCTTTCGATTCAGAAACTATAAGGGCTTTTGTGTTTCAGGGATGATGAATCGAGAGCGTTCTGATTCAGGTGGCTCTGGGTCAGATCCCTTTGATAGGCAGCAGCATGCTGGACCCCCTCATTCCCATCGTGGTACACCCCCCATGGATCCCAAACTGGCTTGGGGACCAGATGTTTTTCCAGGAGGAACAGAGGGACGAGGTCTAAGCTCCCCTTTACGTCAGAAAGCAGTTGAGGAAGAGGAGGCTGGAAAAGGTCAAAGGTATCAACAAAAAATTTTATTAGTTGCATTAAACATTCCAGCTTGTTGTTTTTTCCTGATTTATTTTTCTGCTAAATATATTTTGTAAACGTCTGCTTGATGTTATGTTGTGAGTTTCTAAAAGCATTTAACCATTTTTCTTTTCTGAATGTTTCTAGAAGTGACACTCCTCCCGTTCGTATGCGAGAAGGAGGCACAGCGTCTGTTCAGCAGCCTGGTGTGGCTCCCAGCTCTCCATCTGGCTCATCCAACCAAACCCCACCACCTCTGGGGATTCAAGTTGGGGGTGCAGGCCACCATGCCCATCATCAACCCTTCTTGGATGGGCGAGGAGGTTACAGCAGCTACCCTGACAATGGATCAAGAATGGGCTCCCACCTGCAGCAAAGGGCTAACAGTGGAGGGACACTGCATGGTTTTGGCCATCAGGAAGGTAGTCAGCCGAACCAAATCTGGGGGACTCCTCATCCTCATTATGACCGTTCTGATCACTCAGCCTTGGAGAGCAACTCTCATCACCAACATCATGGTCCTCCCTCTCACGCCCCTCATTTTTCTCTTCATCCTCATAAGCAAGAGAATGGCAGGGAGCGAGAAAAAATGGTGGAGCCAAAGAAGAATGACCCTTCACCTCCACTCCATCAGCCGTCCCTCTCCTCTTCCTGTTCATCATCATCCTCGTCTTCCTCTGCCAGAGAAGATGGCAGTGGAAAACAGTCTTTACATAATCAAGTTCCACCACTGCATGAGCATGATACTGGATCCACTCATGCTTCAGGAAGGAAGCAGGACAAGACAGGAAATGCGCATAATCAGCCCCCACAACATTCTGGGCAGCAGCACCACCCTAGAGCCAACCCTCGCAATCGGGAACACAAAACTGAGACGCACTGGGGCCCGAGGCCTGGTAGCAGTAGTGTGAGTGGAAGCTCTACTCACAACAGAAAGACAGGCTCTGGAATTATTGCAATTACAGAACCATCTGGAAACCAGGGTGCTGAGAACAAGTCCTTTAACCAATCAGATGGCATCACAGTCAAGCGGGCAGGTCCTATTAAGAGACCAGTTCTTAAAGAGATTAAAAGGGAGGGTGGTGAAGGAGGAGGAGAAAAGACTACTGGAGGCTCTGGTAAAGATAAAGAACAAGATGCAAGTCAAACCACAACCAAACAAGAACCTGCCACTGGGAATCAAGTCATATTAGCACCCAGTGGAAAAGATGATGCCGTCTCATCAAATAAACCCAGAACTGGTGGAAAGGAGCGAGGTAACACTGGGGGTTCAGGCAAAGGATCCAAAAATGGGGAAAGCTCCATGCAGAATTCTGGTTATTCAGCCTCTCAGTCCAGGAGGGAAAGAGAACATTCACCTGAAAGAGGGAGCACAACCTACCATTCGTCCTCATCCAGAGGTAGCCGATCCAATCGTGGCAGAGGAGAGTTCTATGGTCGAGGCAGAGGCTATAGGGGCACTTACGTGGGTAGTGCAGGTGGTGGCAACCGTGGAAAGGCTGGTGGCAGGAACAGCAGGGATTATAGGCCAGCTGCCAATAGTGGTTACCACCATCCATCTTCTAATCAAGATTACAAAAGAGAGGCATCATCTGGGAGTGGCAGACATGGCACATCTCAACCCAATCCTGGACGTGCTAGGAACCGTAGTGAGACTCGAAGCGAAGGCTCTGAATATGAAGAGGTGCCAAAGAGAAGGAGACAACGAGGATCTGAAACAGGCAGTGAGAGTGCTGGAAGTGACCTTGCTCACTCTGACAAGGAAGATCGCAAGCTCAACACCAAGGCTGGAACAGTAGGAGAGAACCCTACAACTGGCCCTTCATCTTCTGCTTCAGTCAGAAACACTCAGACTAGAGTATTCACACCAAGGGGAGTACCATCAAGACGTGGTAGAGGTGGAGGTGGTGCTGGAGGGGGTCTCCATAGAAGCGGAGGTGGTGCTGGAGTGTCTGGTGGACAAAGACCTGGACCTGGCTCTTCTTCCCATGGCTGGTCGGCAAAGTCTGCAAATGTGCGAAAGCCACAGACATCCTCACAGCCACCCCCTGCTAAAGATTTAAGCCGTGGAGTGAATGTTGACAAGAAGAAACCTGCAGAACAGAATCAGCCTCAAAGTCAAAGTGCAAATCCCACCACAACTGTTGCCTCTGTGCCTACAACTATCCAACAGGGGTCCACTGAGAATGGAAATGTTGGAGCACCAATGTCTTCAACTAATGCTCCATCAAATCCCGCTGGTGCACCTACACAGTCTCTTCCTCTGCCTGCCCCAGATGGGCGGAACTTCCCTAACAGGGGATTTGAGCGCCCTCCTCGTCGTAGGCGCCATGGCCGATCCCAGCATCAGCAGGACAAGCCTCCAAGATTCCGCAGACTTAAACAAGAGCGAGAGAATGCAGCCCGTATAAATGGAAGCAGTGGATTAATTGAAGTCATAGCTGCACAACAGCAACGCACTGCTCCACTGTTGCAAAATTCCCTGCAACAAGCCAACAGCACTCCCAATGTACCCGATGCAGTAGTTGCAAATGCAAATCACAGTGTGTCCACAACTCCTAACAGTAATAATAATAGCAGCAACCTTGCAGGTGGAAACCAAAATTTCAATAGTCACCACCACCATCACTATCAGGGTAACTCCCAGTCACACCCTCAGCACCATCACAACCATAACCCGGCCGGGGGCGCCAAATCTCCAGATGTCTCCAACCAGAACTCTGACCAGGCAAATGAAGAATGGGAAACTGCCTCAGAAAGCAGTGATTTCACAGAGTTTCGAGAGAGAGAGGGTGGAGGAGGTGGTAAATCCTATTCCTCGCATCACCATCATCACCACCACCACCACCATCCACCGGGAAGAGGCGGTGGAGGGGGCGGTGGTGGCGACAGAGAGATGACTGCTAAAGAATTAGCCTCTGGGAAGAGGAGCTTCTCCAGTCAGCGTCCAGGAATGGAGCGGCAGAACAGAAGGGTGAATGCTGGTGGTGGTGGTGGAGGAAAAGGCCAGAGGGGTCCGCCCGGCACTGGTGGGCCAGTGGGTGGAGCTGGCAATGGCGGGGGTAATCGTGGTGAGAGGCGTGGCAACTGGCCTTCTCCCAAGAACAGGAAGTGATTTCTTTTTTTTTTTGGAAATGTTTCAAACGCATCCCTCTATCTTTGGCCACTTTTGTTTTCTGTAAAACTTCTTCCCCCTTAACATGTTAACACATTATTATTGTGAAAGAATAGTTACCAAGACCATGTACACAGTCTAGCTCTTTTGGTTGATAGCTTTTTGTCCCTTAATTGGAAATTTACACTCGTGTCATTTCACGCTCCCACAATTCCTAAACTCTATTGAGATTTTACACAACACAGCCCTTTTTAATGGAAGTATTTCCTGACTGAACATGCATTCAACCCAATTATGTTTGCATACACAAACACAGTAAGACATCAACCTGACGAAAATGTGCTTAGTTTGTGTATGCCGGGCACGATATGTGTATTTCTTGTATGAAGTCTGGCTTAGTATAAGGCCAAGGTTGGTGTACTTGTGTATTATTCACATTACATGTTGGATTTTGGAAGTTGCTCTTTTAATAAGAACATATGTATCATAAAATAATTTTTCCCCACATTAGTTTTTCATTTCTATCTCTTTTTAAAGGTGGAAATGTCTTTTTCCCTTCATTAAAAGTGTTTTAATAAATCCCCCTTCATTTTTGTCAAAACTCACATATTACTGTGCTTGCCCACTTACAACCACAGCTCTGTTTTTGTGTTGGAATATCACTGTCAGGCCCACTTATTCAGATCTACATTGTATATTTTCTGTACGTTGGAGTCATAGGTCTTCTCTGCTCATTGCTTTGGGTTTTTTGGCCTCCACATGGAATTTTAGTCTAATAGTGCACATTATACATGTTTATATTGTTAGACAGAGTGATCATAAATGAAGGTCCTTCAATCGATTCCCTTCATGGATCACATTGTTAAGGCTCTTTTTTTCGGTTGTGAGCAAATCCGATAACTCTTAGCCTTTGCGTCAGATCCTCATTAGATTTTTTTTGTTGTTGTTGAGAATATCCGTTACAGATTTTCTTTAGTCTTGCACTTACTTATATTAAGCCAGTAAACTCCAAAACTCTCCTTTAGATCGTTCTGTTTTTTCTTTCTCCTCCAAATGATTAGCTGTGTATCGGACATCTTATTTGATTTGGATGTCATACTGCAGTTCCAGGTGATTAAACATGAAAGTATTGTGCTATTGTTATATTCACTTACCAGTTCTAGGCAGGGTAGAGAATCGCTCTTCGATCACCATCTGCATTGTAAATTCCCTTTTATTTTCTCTCCTCGAAGAAACCTACGCGAGCTCTTTCTCCAGTGTGTATTCCCACAAAGTCCCACAAAACATGTCTCAGAACTATGATGAGCTGTCCTGCTCACATCCTCGGACTGATCTTCAATTTACCAGACATCTCATTGAGACAAAAGTCAATGCCAAGGAGTCTGCGGCCCTTATGAGTAGTGTTACAAAATGAGACATTGGTTCAATGTGCAATATGCCTGACGTCAGACAAAACCTGCCCATCGAGGGAGCCCGAGTCCAGGTTAACGAGAAACCACAAACGCTTGACGTCTAAAAACAACAGATCAAAGCATTGTTCCCTCCTCATTTTGACCAGCATCTGTATCCTAATGGTGTAAGTTGGGGTTTGTTTGTTTCTTCTGGGAATGCCTTGGTCTAATGAATAGCTTTGAAATACTATGTAGGGCTTTTTGAATGAAATGTATGTGTGAGTAGGGCATTTAAAAAAAATGTATGTGTGAGTTTATATCTGATCTCTACATGTAACGTGCTCTTTTGAGGGTAGAACGCTTTGTGAAAGGCGAACACAAATCCCAATCGCCCACCTTTTCTGACACTATTAGGATGTTTATTTTATCTAGGATATTTTCATTATATACATTCAAGTGTGTGTATATGTTAATCCAAACGAAGTGGAGTGGAAAAAAAAGTGAAATCGATATATATATATTTTTTCCTATCTACTAAAAAAAAGCACTAAAACGAATTTATTTTACTTGCAGACATTTCACCAAGCATGGTTTCGTCCTCAGATACAGCTTGGTTGGTCTAGTCGCTGTTTATCATCCCTCTTAAACTTACTTCATGGATGTGGTCACATTATTATATGTACCGATATTTGAATAAAACCGAATAGAAAACGTGTATTCCTTGAAATACTCAGAGATTGTATTATACTTCTAACTATATACCAAGGTACATGAAGTTGTTACTGCTGTCCTAGCATTTATGGCTTATTATTGGAACCTTGATATACACACATGTATGTATATTGGTATGCATCGGAGTTTGTCCGCCCCAACTTACATTCCCACACACAATTGTTGCCATTTTAAGTTCAAGGGAGCAATGTACAAGCAGAGAAGTGTCTTATTATAATAAAAAAGTATACAGAGAAAAAGTTAAATAAAAATCTTTTGTTTTAATGGAAGATCTGTGACTTGACTTCATTTCACGCATTGGTTGAGAGGTTCTTAAAAGGGAATTCAAGAGTTCACACTTGCTCATAAGCTCCTCAAGCTCGGGGTTCCCTCCCGTTTGCAAGGCAAGAGGAGTTTGAGCTCAGATAGATCTCAAGAACTCCCCTGTTTTAGTAGCTAAGGAACCAGCCTGATCTCAAGAGGAAATGTAAGTATTTTACGTTTTGTCAGTTTAGGGCTAATTCAGTCAATTCAGAGTTCAATCGTACGAAAACGTACAATTTTAAAAAGGAGGCATGGCACCCAACCTCACCCCTAATCCCAATTGTCATTGGGTGATGAGCAAATCGTACTGAATTGTACATATTAGATTGTATGAATTCATACGAATTTTAGCCACTAAATAGAGTTACAAATTGCGTGAATGCGTTGAATGAACAGATAGTGATTTCTCTTAAGAGATAACTACTTACTATCTGCATGTCTATGGTGCAACTTGGATTAGTCAGTTAAGTTGCATGATTTTGGGTGCATGTTTTAATTAAGGAGCTACAAAAGATTTAAATGTTTCAATGAACATTATTAAAATTATGAACAATCTTCTAAAATACTTTATTTTGAATCTATATGTTTATGAAAGTATCTATATTTGTAAAATACAACGTAGTATGAAATATTTTGGATAAACACTGAACTAAAAGTGAGAACTCGTGGACTTAGAAACAATTTATGCAAATTCATCAGTTTTCTATTTATAACAAATGTAACACTGATGTAAATGCTATCCTAAAAGAATGAATACATCTAACAACTATTTATATTTGATAAATAAATGAACCACAGAACTCTCAGAAGGTATTAGTATATATGTTCACAAATACAACAACAAATGAATTCTTCCAGTTCTTCAACAAAAAAATTTAATCGCTCCAAGAGGGAAATCATATTGGTCAGCGTTAATACGGAATATTGATTGGAAAAGAACAAGTCTTCTCCAAAATAAATATGAAGATAAATAGCTTCTCCTATATGAATAATGTAGGTGGCTGCTAGCTCTCTGCTACTCTCACATGTTTGCTAACAGAAGCTAAGCAGGCTCTGTCCGGTTAGAACCTGGATGGGAGACCACATGGGAAGCTAGGTTGCTGCCGGAAGTGGTGTTAGTGAGGCAAACGGGGCCCTACCGCCCCACTATATTGATGGACACTCTACTTGCTTTTAGACGACACATTCAACTGAGGTCATTAAGGGTTCAAATTTGCCCACTGGCCTCCTAACCATCCACATATCATAATAGCCTTCATCACTCATGTCTCCTCTCCTCTACATCAATCTCACCCCATTGTGTAAAGCACTTTGAGTGTCTAAGAAGCGCTATATAAATGTAAGGAATTATTAATATAAAGAGTTCAGATGCAAAAACCTGTAAGTGCCATCTCAAATGTTCTTCAAATATTAACATTTCTCTCAGGCTCCTGTGTCTTGATTTAGTAATTTCACTTTTTGGCATAAAATCGATTATCTTCATTGCTTGTAATATGAAATATCTGAACATAAACAGAATAGGCTAAGAAAAATGCTCATTATAGAAGAACATTCCAGATGGTGTTTAGAGGTTTTTGCATCTCAACTCTTAGAGTAATCCCAAGCAATGCTAAGAAAATTCATTTTAAAATTCTACACTAAATACACCTGATAAATGCATTGATCTCAAAATTGACTGATATTGCAGATACTTGTTTCTTCTGTCAGGAAAGTGAGGAAACTTTGCTCAAATGTTCAATGGAACTCCCGCTTTCCCTCATTTGCCCATTTCTTAATTGAATTGGACTATTGGCACAGCTCCTGTTTTTCAGCCAATGATCAACTTCCGGTAAAAAGTTTAAGTGACTATTTTCATTTTCATACAGTTTCTTTATTGAAACCTCAGACTAAAAGTGACACGGGGCATCGCAGTTGTGCAGTGGGTAGCACAATCGTAAGACGGTCGCTGGTTCAAGCCCTGGCTGCAGGGGCGCCCCCAAGTCTGGCCACCCTAATATGATTTTGCTGTTAAAATTATTCATTTAAATGTACTTATGTAAATTCACAATATTAGAATAAATAATTAATAAATAGCCACTAAATGACTGTGGGTTGATAGGTGCCCCTCCCCGATCGTTGTTGACAGCACACACACACCTTCATTAGACAGCAATGGCAAGTTAATATTTACCTTAAGGTACATCAATAGAAGAAGCGGTATTAATAATAGTCATGCTGGTAGACAAGGAAGACATTTTAGTTTTATTCAAAACAAAGTCACTAATCACAAAAGGAATTCAAAGGGTTGATGTATGCTGTTGTGATCTTCATACACAGCAATGTGAGTGTCAATAGTGTAGCATTCAATCTCACTAGAAGTTCGCTCGCTGTAGACACAGCAGGTGAGTACACAGATACACAGCTCAGAGTGATAGCAGATCTTCTAGTAAACATCAGATAAGAATAATCACTTCTGTTGATCAGTATGAAGGACACGGAAACTCATAAGAAACATCCATGGAAGAAGGTGAGAAGACGAAAGAGCAAAGGTGAAGACAACCATCTGACTTCAATATCAGCCGATGAGTGAACCGAGAAGGTGGGTCTTTATAGTGTGCATGGGTAAAGGGGAGCTGGTGCAAAAGAAGTCTGGTGAAGAATCACTGGATTGGATGGAGGTGGTATTTGAAGGAGAACGTTGATTGGGTGAGCAGGAATGAGCCGGGGTTGTGACAATAATATTCATTCATTTTTTTTTTGGCTTAGTGCCTTTATTAATCCGGGGCTGTGAAATGAACCACTAACTTATTTAGCAGGTTTTTACGCAGCGGATGCCCTTCAGCCACAATCAATCTCTGGGTAACATCCACACACACACACACTCATACACTACTGACAATTTAGCTTACCCAATTCACCCGTAATGCATGTCTTTGGACTGTGGGGGAAACTGGAGCACCCAGAAGAAACTCACGCAAACGCAGGGAGAACATGCAAACTCCACACAGAAACGCCAACTGACCCAGCCGAGGCTCGAACCAGCGACCTTCTTGCTGTGAGGCGACAGTGCTACCTTCTGCGTCGCTGTGACAATAACAGTGTGGCTCAAAAAGGAATATGGATAAATTATATTATTAGCGTCTGTTTAGTGTGTGTTGTGTGTGTGTAGTATTGCTTTTTGTTTAGTTTGTTCATTTGTGTGTAGTATTAATTTATTAATTAATCTTCAATAATTTTAGACATGGTTTATACTGTATGCTGTACGATAAAGGTATGTAAAATTAACTGAAAAGTATGTTATATGAGGAGTGTTTTTAAACTAAATATCTAAATAATAATAATAAATATATTTTTATTTGGTTTGCACATGTACTTGCTGAAATATTTCAAGGAATAAATTGCAATATTTCAAGAGTAATTAGTTAAATGAATTAAAACCACATTAATATATTTACCAAAAACAAAAGAATAACTTTTTGCTGAATTCATTATTTTTTGTGTGGCACCCCAAGATTTGGTGCAGCCTCTTCTGGCCATCCCTAAGAAAATTTTCTAGGGACACCACTGCCCGGCTGGGTCAGTTGACATTTCTGTGTGGAGTTTGCATGTTCTCCCCGTTTTCGAGTGGGTTTTCTCCGGGTGCTCCGGTTTTCCCACAAGTCAAAAAAAAAAAAAGGATGAAGAATGTGAGTTGAATTAAGCTAAAATTGGCCTTTAATGTACAAGTGTAAATGAGTGTGCATGGATGTTTCCCAGAGTTGGGTAGCAGTTGGAAGGGCATCTGCTGCGTAAAACATATGCTGGATAAGTTGGCGGTTCATTTCGCTGTGGCAAGCCTTGATTAATAAAGGGACTAAAGTTAAGCCAAAAAGACAAATGAATGAATGAATAAAAGTGACATGCCCGCCAGCTACGGATCACGTGTCAGTTACTTTCATTGAAATATCAGTTTTTCTGACCTAAGTAATTGATCGCATCAATAGAATATTACACGAAAACGAATGCAAGGAAACCAAAAAGTGAATATAGAAAAGGAACGACTCTACAACTCAGAAACTACAACTCCTACAAGATCAGCGACGTGAGCGGAAGTGAGGTGACTTGTGATCACGTGATGCACAGCGGAAGCCTCCAATCAGCGTACAGTTGTGTCGCTGCGGCTAACATCGACCCCGGGAGATCCTTGAGGTAACGTCAGTAAACGCTTTTATCGCTATTATGAGCAGGGATGTGAAGTAATTTCGACGTTATGTTAATTAGCATCTATTTATTTTAATTCGCAGTTTATTTCACACATCACGACGCTCCCCGTTTTACATAATTGTGGATCAGTCGGCGAATTTGATGCGGCCTAGTTTGAAGCAGCGGCAAGCTAACCACACCTAGCATTAGCTGAGCACACAAACCAGAAAATCAACACTTATTAAAACTCTTGCCTGGCTGTTAAACATCACAATGTTTTTTCGGCCTTAGATGGAACTATTGTGCATATGTATTTTACTGTATTCGTCATGAGGCTTAAAATGTGACCAGCAGGCTATGCTAGCGTGCGTCAGACCAGTCCAGTCAATTGTTTACGTGAAAACTGTTTAGACTCGATGCAGTTTGTTATAAACATGTACTCATCTTAAACGTATTAGCAACGCAATATAATTTGCTACCCGAGACTTATTAACAGGGCAGTATTAACCTATTTTCAGTAAAATTGTCGTATGTTACTATTAAAGTGACCCTTTCTTGTATTATTAATAGTGACTGCTACTTTTTACAGTGACTAATTGTTAATCTGCTTTTTTTTAGTTTCCCAACATGAGTAGCTCAGAGGAAGTGTCGTGGATTTCTTGGTTTTGTGGTCTACGGGGAAATGAATTCTTCTGTGAGGTTTGTATTGTCATCTTTGTAAGTTATTCTGTTATGTTGTATAATAAGCAGGTGTGTAATAATACACAGTTAAAAAAAATCGGTGTGTGCCTTTTGTTTGAAGACA